CCCCAAAACCCCAAAACCCCAAAACCCCTTTTATGAGAAATTGTGTTGAGAATTATAAAATTTTAAATTCAAAATGACTTCTGTGCGGGCAATGAGCCATTACTCTCCAGTCAGAGAACAACTGAACGAGAGAATGAATAATTTCATGACAGATACAAACAACCAGAGGAAGAACAGGGAAGGCTCTGGGCAGAGAGAGACTCGGGAAAACTTAAATTCTCAAGTCCAGAAATTACAGCTCGAGGCTGACATTTACCAAGAAGGAGGTAATATCTCTGATTACATCTTTACACTTGAGAAGATATACCAAAAAATAAAAAACGAAAGAGGGTTTAATAAGCTTCAGTACGAGATTGCAACTCAGCTACAGAAGTATGGCTCTTATGAGAAATCCTTGCTAATTTTACTAGCATTGTATGAGGTAACTTCAAACTCAGACTCCCAGACCATGAAAGCAAGGGATATAGCCCAGTATTCTGATAAAGCTCTGGGAGATATAAAGCTAGGACAGACCAGCTTCCTCATAACTCTCTGTATTGATATTGGAAATGGATACTTTAGCAGTGGGGAGTTTGAGAAAGCATTAGAGTATTATAGCCAAGCTCTCAAGGATCTTCAGGCAAACGATGAATGCCAACTCTCTTGTGGGCAATTATATCTCAACAAAGGTCTATGATGATTGTATCTACAAGACTATTCAGTAGCTGAAAGATACTTCAGAAAAGTGATAAAAACACTTGTTGAAAGGATGCAGGATCCAAGAAAGGATAAGCTCCTTGTAATTTCATATAAGAAGATTGCCTTTATTCAGGAAATGTGCAATGAGCCTAATAAGGCCCTAATGTTTTATGTCAAAGCCCTGAAGGTTGGGCTTAACGCATATCAGCCTGATAATCTCGAGATCATTGACTTGCATTACCACATTTGTAGGTGATTTTTCAAACTTAACAAATTGAAGGAGGGCATCAATAGACTAGAGAAAGTTATTTATATGATAAACTCAAGACATGAGAGCTTTAAACAAGAGAGCCCTGTGTACCTCTCAAGATTGGGAGATTACTATGCCCTACTAGGAAACTTATACTTCACTCAGAGACAATTTGATTTTGCCCAAAGATGATTTGAGTCTTCTCTCAAGGTATGGAAAGAGTTTGGAATTCAAGAAGCCGATCTTAAATGTCAAAAGTCACTAGAATTTTTAAAAATCTGCAATAGTTATTTGATGCAGGATCCCAACAAGACTGAATAAATTTCTCAATAATTAAAAAATATCTTGGGGTTTTGGGGTTTTGGGGTTTTGGGGTTTTGGGGTTTTGGGGTTTTGGGG